GTAGAGTAACTGTGTTGCACCCCAACTGTAGAGTAACTGTGTAGAGTGTAACTGTGTTGCACCCCAACTGTAGAGTAACTGTGTAGAGTGTAACTGTGTTGCACCCCAACTGTAGAGTAACTGTGTAGAGTGTAACTGTGTTGCACCCCAACTGTAGAGTAACTGTGTAGAGTGTAACTGTGTTGCACCCCAACTGTAGAGTAACTGTGTAGAGTGTAACTCATGAGATAAACCGTTTACTACTCCCGGTTATTACTCTCAGTTGATAATAGAGACTAGTAATAATAGAGACTAGTCTATCTTACAGACTATAATAGAGACTGGTCTATTTTACAGACTGTAGCAGCCTGAACAAGAGGCCGTTACACATGGCAGGCTTTACTATTTACTATCATGAGGTTCAGCTAGGGTAATTGCTACACAAGCTTAGTTACATGCTCCAACTCACGTTAGTAGTGTAATTGTATACAATCATCCTCTCAACTCTTACATCTCTAAATACTTACATTACTTATATTGGATACATTAAGTTGCATGATTCTACCAGCTTAAGCTAGACTGATTTGATGTGGTTCTCGAAATTTCGTTCATGCTTAATTTTAAGTAAGTTTCAACTTGTTATTTTTGTAGATTTCATTCAGTTGCAACGAGTTTGAAGGTAAATATCACCCCTCCCTCTCGATATTAAAACTAGTCGGTCTGTACACGTGCTAGTTTGTACACGTGCTAGTATGAAGAGTATCAGAAGCACTAGTGCACTAGAGTAATAGCCAGCACTAGCTCACTAGTGCACTAGATTAATACTCAGCACTAGAGTAATACCCAGCACTAGAGTAATACTCAGCACTAGAGTAATACTCAGCACTAGAGTAATACTCAGCACTAGAGTAAAACTCAGCACTAGAGTAATACTCAGCACTAGAGTAATACTCAGCACTAGAGTAACTGCGAGCATGTACTACCCGACATCCCAGCAGGCAGTTAGGAAAGGGCAGGTGCTTTATCTAACTAATTATTTACGTCGGACAAATGATTTTGAATTTGTTTAACCAGAACCAGCTTAATTAAAGTGAGCGCTCCTTCAAATAGCTATCTTTATAATGTGAATACAGTGCCCAATCAGTGTCTGGAGAAGATAAATAAGCCCAAAAGATGAGATGACACTCAGTTCACCTCTAATCCCTCAGTTCACCTCTAATCCCTCAGTTCACCGCTAATCCCTGAACCTGTTTGATCGGTTAATGTCTGGAGGAGGTGGGTTTGTGGGAAGCCTGGAAAGTTAGCACATTTGGAGCGCACTTAAATGTTGCTTTGCTTATCAGCCTGGCTAATCTGCCAGACATGACTAGAAGCTGGATAATTGCGTATAGTTATGTAATAGTAATATGTAATAGTAATATGTAATATGTAATAGTAACACTCGGATCTCTTTCCCTTTCTCTGTTCGACAGCCTACGGAGTTAACAATTTAAACCTTTCTTGCCCATTTCTTTGTTTAACAGACTCACTATTTTGTGCGCTTTATTTTTAGTGATTAGTACTTTTAGCAGCTATTGGGAATATTATTTCTCTATTACTACTTCACTAATTACTATACCTCTTTATTACTACTTCGCTACTTTAAAACATTACCTAATTCTATATGTTATACTGCTATGTCTGGATAAGTAACAAAAGAACGGTAAAGTAATGAAATAAATAACGGAATAAGTTAGGGGAATGGGGATCCACATCCCCGTTACTAGAGTAGCAGGGCGTAGTTGTAGGTAAACAGGGTTTGCAACAAATTGCATAAGACTCATGTGTTTTGAAGCACATTACCAGAACGCCATTACCAGTTAACTACAATATTACCTATAACTATTGACATTACCAGTTAACTACAATATTACCTATAACTATTGACATTACCAGTTAACTACAATATTACCTATAACTATTGACATTACCAGTTAACTACAATATTACCTATAACTATTGACATTACCAGTTAACTACAATATTACCTATAACTATTGACATTACCAGTTAACTACAATATTACCTATAACTATTGACATTACCAGTTAACTACAATATTACCTATAACTATTGACATTACCAGTTAACTACAATATTACCTATAACTATTGACATTACCAGTTAACTACAATATTACCTATAACTATTGACATTACCAGTTAACTACAATATTACCTATAACTATTGACATTACCAGTTAACTACAATATTACCTATAACTATTGACATTACCAGTTAACTACAATATTACCTATAACTATTGACATTACCAGTTAACTACAATATTACCTATAACTATTGACATTACCAGTTAACTACAATATTACCTATAACTATTGACATTACCAGTTAACTACAATATTACCTATAACTATTGACATTACCAGTTAACTACAATATTACCTATAACTATTGACATTACCAGTTAACTACAATATTACCTATAACTATTGACATTACCAGTTAACTACAATATTACCCATAACTATTGACATTACCAGTTAACTACAATATTACCTATAACTATTGACATTACCAGTTAACTACAATATTACCTATAACTATTGACATTACCAGTTAACTACAATATTACCTATAACTATTGACATTACCAGTTAACTACAATATTACCTATAACTTGACTCTGATCAGTATACTTCCAGTTCCCTTCCTGGCAATGTGTTGATACGCTGTCAAGTGTCATACTACTACAGCTCTGTCATATATCTCTTTTTAACTCCCACTTTTTAAAGTCATACTTTACTTCAAACACAAGGTTTACAAGGTTTACTCACGGAAACCTTGCTCAGTCGTATATCACACTCGAATCTCTTAATTTCAAAATTTTCTCCGCCGATATAGCTAAATTACGAATAATTAAGTAATTATGTTGTAAGTCATTCTAACCACATGTAACAGCACTACTGCTAACCACGACACTAGTATCTAGTAACACCAGACGTATCTTGTGTGTGGGGGTGTTGACATTTCCATTACAGCCGTCTGTTTTCTTTATCTGCAGAGGAGACCCCCGCGCTAATCTGTTTGTGTTGCGATCAATTATTTCTTCAGAGATAGATATAGTCATCCGATATTCATATGTGCAGCTCCGTTTTTTTCATATTCATTGAGTGATTCTTGTGTTTACGATTAATATGATAGTTCCTGCTCTTACAACAGTCATATTCTAACTAAGAGATATATTACTACTTGCTACTCCTAGAGATATAGTCTTATGGGTCACGGAAAGTTTCTAGGGTTTCTGTTCATTGTTGTTCCTGAGTCCTGCTTGGATGTTATAAGAACAGTTCTTTCAAGAACAGTTATTAAGAGCAGTACGGTGGCTCAGACCGTTTTCAAATTGATTTGATTAAAAACCGATGTCAAATCGCTTTCTATTTTAATATTGAATCGAAAGTTCATAAGTGTTAACTTAAATCATGCAACTTAAGTAAAAATGTATTAAGCCATTTTTAACACACCATAAACTGTTCGTGGAAGACACCCACTACCCGTGATACTACGTCTAAGCTCTGGCATAAAGCCACAGACCCTCCTGCAACTTGTGGAGTTAACATTCGGTTGGGATTCATCAAAATCGAAATTAATTTTTTTTTTCAAATCAATTTTAAAACGGCATGGCGGGTTTCAGTCATGAAATTCCAATTCAATATCAAAATAGAAGAACGCCTTAAGAACGCCACTGAACACATACTATGATGAGTTACTCCCCCCCCCCCCCCCCCCTATTGCAGAACCCCCCCCCCCCCCCCCTATTTTAGACCCCCCCCCCCCTTATACCGGCTAATTATTCCGGCTAATTACTCTGAGCCATGTATGTGGAAATGCAGCATGTAACGTTTTACTCATGACTCCTTCACAACGATTAGACATTGTCAAGGCTAATACGCTAATACACTAGTACGCTAATACAGGACCGCAATGAGCCGCTCCAGAAGAGGCCCCTGATATACTCCAGCAATTATACATCACATATTTAGTTACCTACTCAGTTACATTAGTTACTCAGTTAACCGTCTGTTTTTGAATCTGAAACCACTTTGCCGCGACATAGTTAGTTCTCATACTACGTAAGGGAGAGGGAGTAGGAGGATCACCCCTTACCCCCTCCATTACCCCCTCCCTTACCCCTCCCTTACTCCTCCCTTGCCCCTCCCTTACTCCCTCCCTTACCCCCTCCCTTACCCCTTCCTTACCCCCTCCCTTTTACTGCCACACTCAGGCTTATCTTACCTATACATTTCTTTAAACGAAATTCCTTGCGCACCGCGTATTAAAAATACTTGGATTTCTACCGCTTTGATAGTATGAGAATATTGTTATTACGACTTTTTATCTAATAAACATGACAAGAATTTAGTGGGGAGATAATATAGTTGATTTATATAATATAGATTATTTATTCTCTAGTGTAGATTAACTTTATTTTTATATTTACTAAGTGTGAACGATCAACCATAAGTTATTGATATTGTTGAATTATTTAATGATAAATTGATATAATAAATGTTTGTAATATCCTATTGAGGCACATGCCACCCCATCGCGGGTTTACTACTACTACTCCTCCTTACTCCACCCTCCCCCAACCCCTTACTCCACCCTCCCCCATATTCCCCCTTACCCCCTTACTCCCCCTCCCCCTTAATTAGTTAATTTCCCCTTACCCCCCCTCTCCCCTTACTCTCTCCTACCCCCTTACTCCCCTTACCCCCTTACTCAGGCTTGGATAATGATATGTGAAGATCTCTGACATGGTTTCAGCTGTGATCAAGTTAACCCTGTGGGTTTACATGTTCATATAATACTAATACCCACATAGACACAGGCCAGATGAAACTCGAATAAAGGGGGTAAC